CCATCACCACTTGTAGCACGTATTATTAGCGTTTACTTGCAGGCAGGAGCGATCTGAAACACAACACAACAGTCAGGACCGGCAGATGCCACTCAAGTGAGAACACGGCGTGCGAGCACAACAGAGATATATAGTAGAAATTAAATTACGCGGTTTAAGTACAAAAAGGGAAGTCTATTACAAAATAGTTTTACTCATCATCCAGCAGGTTTAGTTTGCGCAAGCTTTGTTCTTCTTCTTCTAATACGTTCACTTTCTGTTGTCCTGCAATAAGGGAAACAAACCTGCATTAGTAAAGTCACACATAATGATTTTTGATACTGCTACATTATAACACGTCATATTCTTTCCCCAAATTTCATAAGCAGTCTTAACTTTAAAATTATTTTTCCGGTCATGTTAACTATTTTTAAGTTGTCATTTACGTCAGGAACTTGCATGCTAACCTGGCCCGTACATGCGTTGCACTATATCTTCATGTCTTCTACATTTAGAAATCATCTGAATCGTCTTTAACATTTATCAATAAACCCATAATAGTCGTTGTTGCTAATCGTATTTGGGTTTATGGATTGATTTATCATATTAGCAGCCTAAAATGCGGACATAGTTTAGATAATAAGATTACAAATTTAGGTACTATCAACTGCACTAGTAAAATAACTAAATCCTCAGGTAGCTGTTGGCTAAATAAACGTTTAAAATCAAAACTCCGTAGCCTACTAAAATTAACACTAAACGAATATTTCTGAATTGAAATTTACAATTAAATAAGGCGTCTCGGATTCTTTAACGTTATAAATTTATGATAATTTTGAATCACCTAAAGCAACGATATTTATTTTTCCACTGACTAAACTTCAATCAACACTATAACTAGTTAAAAGTAATAGTTGCAGGATATCGTCATAAAGCATTGTCGTGACTTGACAATCACGTAATATGCTTGATAAAATTAATGAAACTATTAACAAAATCGGTCAGCAAATTGACTTATAATTATCACTGGTGTTGCTTTTCTTTTTTTTCTTCATTCACTACAGATGATTACAGTATTCTTCTCTATCAGTTACTCATTCAGTAAATAACTAAAAACCTTGTCAGTCTAATTGATGGTTTAGCGACACAATCATGCATGCAAATAATCAGTATAAGCAGTCGAGCAAATCTCCTGCAAACTGAAAACATCAATGTCGAATTTACCCCAACACTGACTAGGTTCAAGCCATTATCATAGACATGAGTTGGGAGTGTATTCCCCTTGGTTACAACTTATATTCTCCCTGGTAATCACATGAGCATCACTCACTATTTATTCATCTTGAAAAAACTTATTTAGCCAAATACATCTTGCAGCACCACATCACTTAGTAATATGACACATAGGCATAAATCGTATTCCGCCTTATGATAAACTGCATACTTGCAACTAACTTGTATGCCCGATCAGCCGGGAAGTATAAATACAAATAAATGGTTTGCCACAGATCAGAACATTGAGTCTAGAGCATGTCTCTTACGAATACACTCACGTTTAACGATTTGTTCCTAGCTATCTGTCCAAAATTCATATAATTATCACTAACGTATTTATGTTTTGTTTTGATCACCATTCATGTGTATTAGTAGTATTGCTAAATTCTATCACAGTCAAGTAAAAATGAGGTTGAGATCTGCCCGTAACTAAATAAAGCGTATCAAACTAACTGGAACACTAGTTGGAATTCTTCTTTCAGTTAGCCTACTAATACAGATGCAATTGGAAATCACATATGAACAGGTTACCGGCATAATTGTAAATTGGTTTCATAATTTAAACCAAAACTAATATCAATATTAGCATTTCTATAATATTCATTACTTTAATATTTCTAAACACAAAATAATTACTACCTGTACGTTAAGTTATTAAACAACGGCTATTAACACGCATCGTTTTATTATTGTTATTGTAATCCCATATATTATAGCTCAAATAATCTTCACCCGAATTTTCATTTCAAGCGTGTTAAGAATGAAAACAGATATTTTAAAATTATTACATATATTTCTCGGTCAGATGCTGCCGCCTTCTTTTTGATTTATCTTTCAGCTTATCAATATCCGGAGGATCCTATCTATTCTTGGCAACCTCCGGTGCACGACAATCCCATCGAACTTGATATCGAACCAACACCACGTTGATTCTGGTGGGAGAGTAGTGTAGTGGCATTGGACCATAACCACACAATCTTCAAAGCTGGATACGAGATTGCTCGGAAAATAGATATTCACTATTTAACGCGGAGAAAGACCTAACGATGGAGAAGTCGCGAACAAGGAATTGATTGAGTTGGGTTTGATCGAATGGCATGTCTCGGCCATGCAGGCGTGGTCCCTGCTAAATGTTACCTTATATCTTCTATTCATATTAAATGTATTAATCTTTTTCTAGCTTACCTTTTCCTACATGGTGTATTGGTAATTGATACGATACAGTGAGTTGGTGTAGTCGATGGTGTGACCCCCACGTAAGATCTTATAGATAAGAAAGTTATATCACGACAAATCTACAATTTTAGGATTAGGTCTATTATAAGAGCAGTACTAATATCGAATGTAACCTTAAAATTATTCCATTCGTCTTCAATCGGTCCATCCGCGTCAACCGACCAACCAGTCGAGACAGCACAGTTTCTGATTTCCGGAATATTGGCTCGTCAGATATTGGGACGGGGGGGGAGCAGATACGAATTGTCTACCAAGTGTCCTAAACTTAAAGTGAATTACAACGTGATCACTGTTCACTAGTGAGGGAAGGTGATGAATATCAAAGACATCCTCACAGTGGTTAGTGGGGGCGAGTTCCAGCAGTGACAGATCATGATTGAAGTCAATTTGTGTCGGTGTTGTGATACACTGTACAAGTGCACACTGAATAACGGCAGATAAAAAGTCGCTATCGAAACCACTACCTGGAGCTGTAAGCTCCATCCAGTTGATATGCGGTGTGTTGAAGTCCTCAATAATGAGACAACATTCTGCCATACTCCAAGAACGGATGTGTCTTGAGATGAAGTCGTCAGCAAGACAAAACGGACTACGGTATATTTTCCCTATAGTCACTAACCCATTTCTAGATTCAATCTTACAACATGCAACCTCACATGTGCCACTGATATGAGCCTCCGATATGATTGATTGTATACGAAAGTGATCCCTAACGTATAATATTATACCTCCCCCTTTGCGACTTGAAACTCTATCACTTCTAATACAGATATAGCCTGCAATGATGGGTGAACATTCTATATCTACGGTGAACCAAGGTTCTGTAACAACAATTATATCGGGATTTAATTCATCCACCGTCAGACTTAGGTTGGACGTTTTATTTCGAAGACTACGATCGTTCGTGAAGCACACACTTAAGGTGTTTTAGGAATAATTCGTTCTATCCATACAGGCCTCGGAAGCATTGGTTTCCAAGACCTGACTACCCAAAAACCCATAATGGTAGAGTTAGTTTCGCCATTTAACTAGCGAGTTCTTAACTCCGTAAGAGCATTCTTCCACTTGATTCGATCCTCAAGCGGCCAATCTGGTCGAATACGGATATTTGAGTCACGAGATTTTTGGTGCGTTTTTCAATAATATGTCTCTTTCTTCAAAATTCCCGAGAACCAGCTTCAGGATTCTTCTTGGTTAGATATCGCCTCCAACCCATTTACCAAGTCGTATTGCTTCTGTAATATGTACCCCTGAAACCTCTTCTGGTAGTACATTCCTTACCACAGACTCCACTAACTGTAGGTCATGTGCATATCTTCTAACAGGGTCGTTTCCTTTCGACTCCTTTAGATTCCAAATAATTAAACTAGGGAGGGCTTTAGCTTCCTTTGAAATTGTGTTCACGACTTTCGATCGTAATGTCAGACCCTGCATATAAACTACTGGCATCTCACGATTAGTTTTTATTGTAAGAGTCCTAGGAGTCGAGAGAGGGACTCACAATGTTAGACGAAGCTTTACCATGGAATTTCGGCGGAGTGGTCTGAGAGTCCATCAAGGACTTATCAAGAAAACGGTCATTAGTTTTAGCTGTCTTTCCTACCCTTCTGTGTTTTCGTGTAATCCATATTCCATCATTCGTAGCATCCACATTAGAACCACTCGCAAAAGTGATTGTTTTATCTGGGTCACCGGTTGCTGCTGTAGCAACATGGCCAACAATATCTAATGAGATGTCACCCATTGATTGTTTCGAGGTGGACGTTTTAATAACGGGTCGCACAGTTGAATGTCTGGATTGCGCCGTTACAGAACTTACGACACTAAAGCAATCTTCGCCATCAGTACCAATGTTGACAGCACAGCCCTCATCAACCTTCATATTAGCCAGCACCAGAAGACAATTGCTCCCTCGATAAGCCATGTTTCGCTCGAGCAACAAAAACTACAAAGCCAATGAGAGTTGGGCTTTGAGAACGTTTTATATGCAATGGGGCTTAATCGCGTGAACATCTTATGGAACCACTTATTAAACTCATCATTTTGCATCCCTTCCTCCACGGGAAATAAGCATTATGGTTGTCCAAATTTATGAGCAGATCTAGCGATCTTGAAAATCAATTAGAAGGGTGACACAAACAGGATACGTAAAAGGATTCTCAAACCTTAACTAAATAAATCAAGTAAAAGTCGATCAAGTACGCTTCGATACAATAAATACACAAAAGCAAAATCGAAACACTGAATACAATATCAATTCAACTAGGGTAGATGCAATTAAAGTGTAAACAGTAGTTCTGATGCGTAATTTACGATCGAAACAGTTAATTAACTCAACGAGAAACAATACCACTGTTCTTTTAAATAGAGCGCTGGATGATGTTCTTTATTTCCATGTGAATATCATTTCACTCATAAGATTCAGTGAATCCATCACCTAGGATATATGAAAGTTTTTAGCGACCGATACTAACGTTCTATCTTGCTTGTTGTAATATACTAATATTTAGGTCGGAGGTCATTGGCGGAAGTCAACTCAAGTAAGTGTTCTGTATTTCGACGTTTGGTATTCTGGTGATGAAACTATTCCTAAATACATCGCCGTCACTAATTTCAATGTAAACGATTTTATGAGTGTTCAATCACCCCGAGTAAGGCCTAGCAATACTGGATTGTCACTTGTTCAACCTTCATTGTAAAAGTGGGAAGTGGAGATATTTCATTAGAAAAGAATGGAGAGCAAAGGCACATTATCTCCGTTGTGTCGCTTTGTTTTTAAAATGCTGCTTCAACGCCTGTTTTCTACCTAAAAATACGCTGTCTTGTCTACTATCTTCCTAAATGCCTTCCACATTTTCTACCTTTCCCGAAGCTCACAAGTGTATTATATCCTTTTTCCATTACATTAAAAAAACGTTAAGACTTAATCAGTCTCAGTGTAGTACATGCAAGTGAGACGGTCACTGCATACTAACAGTAAGCTTCATTAGAAGGCTGAGTTAAACATGAAGGTAAATTCCAAAAATAATGCACATTTAAAACTGCTATCTTACTATTCCGGATCAAAACAATCCTGTAAATTCTGAAATTCAATGAGTATAGTCTTTTACAATGAAGTTCAACTGCCATAGTTTTCAAACAATTGCCTACACAAACTGAGACTTATGGCAGTGTTCATTAATACCGAGTGTTGCACACATAGAACAGCAATGAAAGGTCAGCATTTTAAATGAGTATGTCCCGTTTTCCATCTACGACGCTCTTTTGGTTTGTCTCATGTCGTGGAACTATCTTAGCGCCTCAGTATCGTGTAGTTTAGCTAGTTCTCTTTTCGGTGATGTACTATGAAAACCGTGATGTTACTTTACCTAATGATTAGGAAGAAAAAACTTTTTTTTTTCGTACGCTGCTGTAAAGCCTGCATTGCCAAAGCCGTCTTTTCGATGGAGTGCCAAGTAGTGTGAAGCGGCTGGCAACTTCAGGTTTCATGATGTGTTAATGAGATCTCAGATTCTAATCTCCCAACGATGAGACCATAATTTATGGACGACCTTTGAACGACGTTAAAGTGTCCTACTTGCTAGAGCTAAATAAGAGTTACAAACTCGTTTTAGAAATAAGGATTGTGATTTACAGTTGGTTGTTAGGAGCTAGGTTTAAAGTTTTCATCACGGACTGACATAAGCTAAAATCTCTAAACACTTTCTAACCAGATGGATGGATGAATTTTGCGCCAAAACCCAATACCTTTTATCCTTAACCTGACTGGTTCGTCCATAAGTTATAGTTTCGCCCTCCCAACTTTTCCCAACATTCGAGTAAGTATTTAACGAATATCAATTAACATTCTAACCGTACTGCGCAAGTGGTATTCTGCTTGACTGATCCAGACCGTTTGTGCTACTTTGATCTGGTGGTCGGGCTTTCCTATCGCCACTAGCCATTTGAGCTATACTGGCTGGAAAGACCATTCCTCCATGACCTACCATGCCATGCAGGTCGGTTGAAGACCGGTAAGACTAAAACCAGCAAACCCAAGGTCCGAGGGCGAAATCGTACTGCTGACTGTACAGAACCGTTCTACAGTTTGGGTAACCGGGAAGCAAAAACCTAGCTCATACCCCTAGCAGCACTCACAACCACTGCATTCATCATCAATTACCCTCTTTGAATCCTATTATTACTCCTACCTCGATTTCATACTCTGAAATTCCTCTTTTATCTTCTACCCTCAAGTATCACCATGGCCAAAAATTATAGTGCGCGAAACACTGTCCCAGGTCTACTAAAATCTCGCTCCAAACTACACATTTGAACCCTCAACGTATGCACCATATATGTCAAATCGGCCAACAGGCTTCCTTGGCTAAAAACCGTAGTATCTCGTACGATTGTTGTATGCTGTGCTTCGAAAACGGGCAACTGATGAGGTACATTCTCCGTTAGTTTGACTACCCAACTACAAGTTCTCATAGACTGAGAGGTGTAGGCATAACACCAAGTATGTCGGTAGAACAAGCGCTTTTAGAATGGATCACTGTTAACAGTCGCCTATATTCTGTCCGGCTAAACGGTCTCAATGTCTTAGAAGGATGGTGACACAAGTCGTTGATTTTTAGCCATTTCTTCCTACTCTCCCACTGACTTCAGCCAGGATGAAGTGAACGATGAATTCCACATAGAGCTTTCTGAACTCTTTCAAAAAGCTAAACACTCAATGTACTCGTATCAGGTGATCTTAATACCAAAGTGGGTAGCTTAAACCAAACAGGAAGACATTTTAGTGGGTATTTTGGTATTCTGGTTCAGTGAACAGATAATGGTGACTGTATACTATAATTGTGGTCAGACAATCGTTTATTTTTAACAAAAACTAATTTTAAACCTAAGGAAACACATCGTCTAACATGACGGGCCTCTGCATCAAACCAATGATGGGCCAAAATAGACCATATTGCCATTAGTCATCGTTGGAAAGTCACGATAGTAGACTGTCGCTCGTATCGGAGTACCACTGATTGTCCCGATATGTAAGAAGGGATCAAAATCATGTGATAGCCATAGAGAAATTAGTTTGACTAATATCAGTCAGTCAGTCAGTAACGACGTAGAACTTCGTACGTACGTACATAAGTTCGAGTTGCCACACCACATTAGCACAGAGATGCTGTGGTCGATTCAAATCCCGTAGTGGTACAGGTAATAAGAGTATTAGCAGTAATCGGGAAGATTAGTGTTTGGAGATGTTACTTAAAGAGTATAATACAGTGAAATAAATTTGGGAAGAGAAAAAAAGGGTCAAGGAGGAATAAGGAGATCGAAATTTGGGAGAACATAAAGAGTGTATGCACCTGCGCCATTACAAACGATTTTGAGCCATTTCATTCAGGGTCTTTAACCATCGGCTGCTATCATCTCGCGGTCCCCAACCAGGTAGTCTACACCTACTGAGATGACTCAGTCCACTTGTCAGTGACTTCATGGACTTGAGCCATGTTTTGGTCTGGCCGCCTCTAGCTTTCTTCCAACCTACTTCTATACCACTGAACATCGCACGTCGAGGCAGTCGGTCGTTGGGCATACGTAACACGTGTCCCAGCCATCTCAATTGATGAAGTTTCACTACGTCATCAATTAATTTGCTATCCTTACCTATTACCCGTTTCCTAACAACTGCATTACTTACTCGATGGTCCCAGGATATACGAGCAATATTTCGAAGACACCTATGATCAGATATTAGTAACCTAGGAATATCCTCTACTCTTACCGGCCATGTTTCACTGCCATAAAGTAAAACGGAACGAACTGCTGCGCAGTAAACCCGTCCTTTGGTTGATAGACGGATGTCTTGCCTACGCCATAAATGACGCAAGTTGGTAAAGGCTAGTCGAGCCTTCTGTATCCGTGCTGAGATTTCGTCACACACCAGACCACAAGGGCTGATGAGACTTCCAAGATAAGTGAAGCGATCGACATGCTCAATTACTTCACTCCCTATCACTAGTTCGGGTGTCGATGTAACCCAATCCTGAAGCAACATTTTGCATTTCGAGGGGGGAGAATCGCGACCCGAACATGCCTGCATTGTTGCCTAGAGTGGTCAGAAGACTGCATTTTGTCAGCGTCTTCGCCAAATAAAACTATGTCATCAGCATATTCTAAGTCAACAAGTGAATCTCTTGGTAGAAGTTCAACCCTTGGAAATTTAGATGAGGAAAGTGTTATCTCTAAAAGTACGTCAATGACAATGTTAAACAAGAATGGAGAGAGTGGACAGCCCTGACGAACACCACTTGATGTAATCAATTCTGATGACAGTTCGCCATAAGCTGTCACTCTTCCAGTTGTGTTCGAGTAGAGAGCCTGTATAAGGTTAATGTACTTCTTTGGTACTCCTTTCAGTGACAAACACTGCCATAAAACCTCACGATCAACAGAGTCGAATGCCGCCTTAAGGTCGAGAAATACTACCATTATGGGGCGTCTAAACGTGTGTCTGTGTTCTAGAACCTGACGTAGTGTGAATATCTGATCTATACTACCACGTCCAGGTCGAAAACCGGCCTGATTTTCTCTAGTCTGCTCTTCACGAGCTTTGGTTAGGCGTCGAAGTATTATTGAAGCTAATATTTTAGACATTATATTAGTCAAGCTGATTCCTCTGTGATTGTCACAAGAGGACTTTTGTCCTTTCTTATAGACTGGGACAATCAGTGATTGAGACCAGTCAGATGGGATTACGTCCAGTTCCCAAATTCTACCTAAGACCTCAGTTAATCTCACTGCTAATACTAGACTACCATCCTTAAAAATCTCAGGAGTAAATTTGTCAGGGCCTGCTGATCTCCCTCGCTTCAGATTTGCTATGGCTTTTTCAACTTCGTAAAGAGACGGAGGTCAGTCAGTCAGTCAGCTACAACGTAGGACCAGGTACATACGTGCATTGGTCCAGGTTGCCATACCTCATTAGCACAGCAAGATGAACACCGGATTCATAGGAGTAGTTAAGTCAAAGGTGGTAATATATAGGAGAAAGATTGCAATAAGGATATAGTATAGGAAGAAAGAATTAGTTAGTAGAAAGGAAAGATATGAAGTGATTTTAATCTCTTAGTTTAAGGGAAGACAGTGAGTGTATACACCGACGTTATTGTGACCGATTCTAAGCCATGTCACCAAGAGTCTCCAACCATTGGTTGCGAAAGTCACGCGGACGCCAACCAAGTAGTCTGCATCTACCAACATGGCTCAGGCAAGAAGTTAGTGACTTCAAGCACTGATGCCACTTTTTGATTTGGCCGCCCCTTACAAGAGACGGAGGACCTACATTAACTTGCCATTCATGTTGACTGGAGATCGTGGGAAACCGAAGTGTGGCTGAAGGCCAGTTGAACTGATCCGTAAAGTGTTCTGCCCATCGATCCAATCTCCTGGATTGAGAATGTATAATATGTCCATCTTTCTCTGAGAGTGTTTCGCTAACAGTCGGTTTCCTAATACCGGTTTCCTTAACAAGTCTGAACAATTATCTGCTATT